GCCGTCCTGGATTCTTATCATGAATCCCCTTAACTTTATCCCCAATTGTGGATTTGGGAATCCTATAATACTCAGCCGCCTCTCTTAAGGTTTTTCGCGGGGCTTTGACATCTACTACTGCTTGCTGTAACCTCTCTGGTGAATAATTTTGGTAGGGGCGACTCCCCAGTTGCTTTTTGTAACTTCGAACCATGTCCGAAGTTAACCTTCAAAATATGATTTTTTTGCTTACGACCATCTGGAAAAAAAAATTGAACGATTAAAAATCTTCAAATTACACAAAACACTTTCAGATAATATACCTACTGAATACTAAAAAAAGTACGACTTTATGAACAATAGGTAGTTGTATGCCAGTTACTTTTTCCACTTTAAAAAAACAACAAAAATTGCATACTTACAAAAATTGACGTAAAAAATACGCCGGGCCCGAAAAACACTCGATATTTAAGAGACGTCTGAGGGCAACTGTTTTAAACACGTTCCAGTCCACACGCGGCTGCTTTGATGATTTCGCTATCCCCTTCATATTTTTTCTCTTTTAAGGACCCGTTGTCCGAATTTACCCTTGCTGTCCGAAGTAGCCCATACATTAAAAATGCATAAAAGATAAATTTTATAATAAAAGTATTGAAATTTTGAAAACGTCAACATTTGACGTTTCCAGTATTTTACCAAACCGTTCCGTATCAAACCGATATTTTTCAGGAACCGCTCTTTACCATAGTTTACCGGTCTGGTTCGCCTGGTTTTGCAACGGAATACAGCCTTAGTTTTGTGCTTAGGCGTCAAAATGACTTTTTTATATTGTCAATCACGTCGCAAAAATTAATACTTTTGTGACGTTTGAAAAAATATATTAACGTAGATGGGGCTTAATAAAAAAAACTGTTAAAGACTTTCAATAGTTAGACTAAAAATTATCTAACATTATAATCCATTTTGAGATTTCTTGAGTAATAAAATACAATCTACTTCTTATTAAAAAGCTCATTTATATTGATTTCGTCCATCTAGATATTATTTTTAAATGTGAACTTCAAAGACATTGAGAAAAATTCTTATTTGACATTAGATACGATCACATTGATATTATTAAACTTGTATATGACTAGAAGTATTTTTATTTGAACATTACACAGTGATTTATATTATAATTTACATCTAAATTTGGAAAGTATATTGCAAAGTATTTTTTCCATTTTCAGTAACAGAAATTAATACACTGCAGTCAAAAAGATTTAAGATCAAGTCACGGACCTTATTTTATTTAAATAAAAGTTACTTTAAGTTAACAAGTCATACATCTACCTGCTTTTTGAGAAATATTAAAACATACAAACAAAAGAGAGAATTTTAATACGCATAATTACTTATAGCTTATAAGAAAAAAAAATATATTGTAGTTGCTTACCATATGATTCCCAAAAATCGGTTATAAATAGTTTGTAATATTTTGACACTATAGATTAATAGACTATTGACACTATCATATTTGATATATCATTCCCGAAAAAATATTTTGCCTTATTTACGATCCACCCTGTATAGTTACGTCAGATGTACTAAAATTTATTATTTTTAACGTTAGTTAAATGAGAAATACTACTGAATCATCTTCCGAAAATATTTCTACTTAACCAGGTTTTTTGATTCCATCTTAATAATACGCCGTATGATCGAAAAAAAACGGCGTCAAGACGCCTGGGGAATAACTTAAACTACACCATTAAAAAATAATTTTTCCTCAATATAAAAATAAATGACAACCTTCTTAAGGCAAACTGGCAGTAAGCGCCATTCAAATTAAAGAAGAATAGGACCAAGACATTGACGTCTAGGGCTTGACCTAGCCAAAATTATCGTCGATTGTCGTTCCCCAGCCGTCCATGACGTCGTTTGTTGGATTGTATATATAGGTGTTTCACGTTTGTCATCTTTTCTTTTAAATTTTTTTATTAAGTGGTTTTCTAACTTATACGATTTCGGAAACGTACTATCTAAATGATTCTTGTTCACAACAAAAATAAATAAAAAACAAATATACTGCACGTAATATGTGCATTATCTTAATTATGTCGTGTTTTCTCACCTGTAGGTCTCACTGAAGCAGTCTAACTGATTCACTGTTAGTAACAGTGAATCAGTCAGTGTGTGTAACAGTCTGTTACTTTAGTTTGTAATTATTGTTCAGTCACAATGAACGACAGTAAAACTACCATTCACTTTAACTGAAAGTAGGAATATTAGGATGCAACAAAAAAAAAATATTTTTAGTTACCGTGAAAATATCGTTCACGATGATGAAAAAGGTTCAAACGTCGCTGTATTTCCTACAAAGTTTTGTAAAAAAATGAGTGATAATGATAGTCTTTGGATATTCAACAAGCTACTGAAACTGCGCTATCCACGTTAGTGCCCGAGAAGTCGAAAATCTTATACGAGACCACCTACAACAACTTTGAAACCTGGCTCAAAGAAAAACATGTTGATAATTTCATAGAAAAGGTATTGCTAGCCTATTTCCTGAAGTTATCCAGTACCTTAAAGCCGTCAACTCTGCGGAGTAAATATTCGATGCTCCGCACCATGATTTACCACAAACGTAGATAGTAGCAAATTCACAAACCTTATTGCATTTTTAAAAAGAAAAGCTTCCGGATATCAGGCAAAGAAATTAAAAGTATTTACAAAACTGGAAATAGAACGCTTTATGAAATCGTTGTATAATATATATATACAGGGTGAGCCAGTGAAAACTTACAATGGCTATAATTTTTAAACCAAAAAAGATATCAAAAAATAAAAAATACCGTTTCTATGATATCGAAGGGGAATACATATGACGTATTTTTTGAACCACCCCGACCTACCCCTTAGGCGGCACCCCTACTCACTTGAAAATCTTAAATGGCAATACCCAACCTGTGGGGCCTTTTTGGAAAGCCCATGAAAAATGCTAAACGACGATCATAACGTTTTTAGGGTGAAATTGAAAAACTACCCCTTACACGAAAAATTAGGTGGACATTAATGAAAAAAGTAATTTTTTCAGCATAAGTTACAATTTGGGACCCAGCTAAATGAGGCAAATGAGGCATTTTTAAACCACCCCGACCCACCCCTAGGTACCATCCCCTCACTTCTAATCTCATCAATGCCATTTTTAAATGTAGATAATAAAAAAGGCAACACATAGATATTTTTACAGCCTAATTTTGCGATAACGCAAATTCTTCCTTATCATCTATTTTTTTACTTTCAACAAACAGGAATCTTAAACCGGCATATCTTTGCGTTTTTGCACTGTCTTCTATCGATTTTCAATCGTTTGCAAATTTGGTGGTATTTTAAACGTTTATTTGATTCGCTCATTTGAAAGAAAAATGGTTTATACTGTAGAAGAAAGAATTCAAATAGTTTTTCTTTATGGTGCTGAAGGTATGTGTTATTTGAGAACGGCCCGTGCTTTCAATGAGAGAAATCCGGACAAAAACTTAAGTCACGTTTATGTCAGAGATTTGATTTTAAAGTTTGAAGAAACTGGGTCGGTCAAAAATAAAACAAGGACAGGGCCCAGGGTACTGATTGACGAAATGCAGATGGAAGTTATTGGTCAGGTATCGGTCAATCCAGAAGCATCAACACGCCAGTTGGCATCAATCACAGGTATACCTCGAACATCTGTCAGGAGAGTATTGAAAATGCACAAATTCCATCCCTACAAAATGAAGATTCTGCAGGAACTTGGCGACGACGATCCAGATAGAAGGATTCAGTTCTGTAAACTAATGACGGAGGAAATTCGAAGGGAGCCTTCACTTACTAAAAATATTTGTTTTAGTGATGAGTGCTCATTTTTTTTTAAACGGAATTGTGAATAAGCAGAACTGCAGATACTGGAGCGATGAGAATCCGCATATTGTTGTTGAAGGACACACCCAACATCCCCAAAAGCTCAATGTTTGGTGCGGAATACTAGGCGATAAAATTAGAGGTCCATTTTCATCGACGGAAATTTGACTGGTGATGCTTATGTGGAAATGCTGAACAATTTGATAGAGCCAGCTATTGTAAATGAGGTTGAAAATCAAAGAGATTTGGAAGAAAATTTAACTCTTAATGAAGACCTCATACACTTTCAGCAAGATGCAGCCCCTTCGCATTATTCTATTGTCACAAGGCGGTGATTGGATAGATTATCCAAGGCAATGGATTGGCAGAAGGGGTCTAATCGAGTAGCCGCCAAGGTCACCTGATCTCACTCCTTTAGACTTTTTCTTGTGGAGTTACACTAAATCCATAGTCTACAAGACAAAACCAGGTTCGTTGCAAGAATTGCGGCAGAGGATAACTGAAGCATGTCGAAATATTACGAGAGAGACTTTCCAAAAAGTGAGAGAAGAATTTGAAAATCGTTTGTATTGTTGTATGGAACAAAACGGCTGTCATTTTGAGCAATTGTTAAAATAAATTATCATTTTAAATTTCTTTCAAATTGTCAAACCTACATTTCTTATCACTACTTACCAGTAATTGTTGAATAGATTGAAGTAATTGATTGAAGTAATAAGACAGATTTTGAAATCTGTATGACCATCGTTTAGCAATTTCAATTAGCTTTCCAAAGAAGTGTCACAAGTGGGATACCGCTATCTTGAGATTAGAAGTGAGTGGGTGGGTCTACAATTTGTAACTTATGCTGAAAAATCACTTTTTTCATTAATGTCCACCTAATTTTTCGTGTAAGGGGTATTTTTTCAATTTCACCCTAAAAACTTTATGATCATCGTTTAGCATTTTTATGGGCTTTCCAAAAAGGCGCAACAAGTGGGGTGTTGCTATTTAAGATTTTCAAGTGAGTAGGGGTGCCGCCTAAGGGGTAGGTCGGGGCGGTTCAAAAAATACGTCATATGTATTCCCCCTCGATATCATAGAAACGGTATTTTTTATTTTTTTGATATCTTTTTTGGTTTAAGAATTATAGCTATTGTAAGTTTTCAGTGGCCCACCCTGTATATTAATCGTTGGAGTATTTGGAGCATGTAGGTGGGAAGGAATCACGTTTTTAACCGTAGATGCCATTAAAGATTGTCAGTTATTTATATTAGTGTGAAGATTCCGAATACAAAAACTAATTTTCCAAGATTGTTTACGATTACTGAGGGACCAATAGATGGTATCAATTTCTTACATGTATTTCGTAAGTACGTAAAACTTCTACCACTCAATGTGACACATCAGCGATTTTTCTTGACATATCGAAAAAAATCAATGCTGTATCCTGCCAGCTGGAATCAATACAATTGGAGGTATGCCAAAAAAGATAGTGGAATTTCTTGGACTCTCCAACGCCATTGAATACACTGGTCATTGATTCCGGCGCAGCTATGCAACAATGCTGGCAGATTCAGGAGCGGACATAACAGTTTTAAAGCAACATGGAGGATGGCGATCAAGCTCGGTTTCTGAAAGTTACCTTGAAAATTCAATTGAACAGAAAACCGAAATAGCAAAAAGAATCATGGGACAGAAAGATACGCCAAATAAGAAATTAAAAGCAGTTCACGTAGAGGCAGAAGCTACCAGCATTGCCAGTTCAAGAAATTTACTTATTCCGACTCCTACAACTTGCATTTCTCTTAGAGACAAAAAGTTGGATCCCTCTTGTATTCACTTTAATAATTTAAATAATTGTACCTTTAAGATTTATAATAAATAAATATTTTCATTGTTTCTAACGTTTCATTTTTTACTTTTAGACACTAGTGTCTAAACAAGTGTCACTTTTAGATACTAGAGCCTAAAAGAATGTCATTTCGAATCTCAAATAAATATTAAAAACTGTCAATTTCGAAACGCTTTCACTAAAATATATTTTTCTTCTATTATTTGTATTTCGTAAAAAAAATTTCAATGTCTAATCAAAGAACACTTGATGAACTTTACGAAAAATAGGATATTTTATTATGTCCCAGACAGCACATAATATCTTAAAGACGTCTTTTTTATATCTTAACTAGATCTTAACGCCTAAAGACTAAAATAAGACAACTTTTGGACATCATTTTAAAGATATTTATAAGATAACGAAATAAAATATCTTTAGGACGTCTCTAAAATGACATTAGAAATGATTAGAAATTTTAAATTTAATTTTTTCTATTTATCTCGTTTTTATTTCTAGAGTAGGCGATAAGCATAAAAAAGGAGAGTATAATCTGGTATAATATGACAGAAATATGGTATAATCTTAACAAATAAAAACATTATCCTGATTTAATTTATAAGCGCAAATATGACAATTGACAGGCGTTACAGTTATCTTCTGTGGTTGATGTTGATGTGAGGTTATGTGATCGAAATCTATGGAAAACCCCGCGGAAAATGTTTGTTCTTGTCGTTGTTGTAAGTTGTAAAAAGGCGCGCAAAACCGTTTGGCAAAGGGACGTGATATAAAGTTTCATCAGAGAATTTACCAAAATTTCATAATTAAAGCTGATCAAAGAAGTTAAAGCTGATATTATTGTAGGTAAGCCAGGTAAGTTTAAAACATTTAGGTTGTTAGATATATTTGAACAATTACCTTATTCCTATGATTCATATTTTAGATGCGTATGATAACGCATCTGAAGATGTCCCTCCAGTGGTTGTCCAAGGAGAAAATACCAATACATAACGTTTCTGTCAGAAAAAATGTTAACTGTTCACTTCATATTGGTCAGTGTAACATCTGAGAGAAATATGCTTAATTTAAAAATTAAAGACAATGCCGGTCCAAGAAGATGTTTTATTTTATAATTCACCATTGTCTCCCATTTTCATTCATATTAAAAGACATCTTAAGTACATTGTTAAAATATATCTTAAAGACATTGTACTCAAGACGTCTTAAAGATGTTGGATTTTTTAACATCAGACATTGGTAAAAGATGTCTTTAATACGTCTAAAGGCGAAAATAGACGTCTTTGAGATATCAGGAATGTTGAAACAAGTTGTCTTATAGATGGCTTTAAAATGTCACTGTGCTGTCTGGGGTTTTTGATATAATATAATAAATAAATAATATAATTATACCCAGATTTTTTTCATTGTCAAGAAAGATATTTTCACTGTAACTAAAATGAAAATCAAATATTTTTTTCGGTGCACGTGGAAACACATTTTCAATGAAACACGTTCATTATTTGTTCAGTCAGTGATACTGACAGGTGAAAATGCCCCACTATTCTCTTCACAAATTGCGTTCTAATTGATTATTTTATTAAAGACTACGAATTGAGATTTTTGTTCTTAAATTATGATACAAGCGTTGTTCTGTAGTTTGTGCCGGTGCGGGGCGCTGAACCCAGAACAACATTGCTGATTGTGTTGCCTGTTCTGGTGGGACGTCTTGCCGAAGTTCGGCTGACTTCTGCTGTTTGGAACGGACAGTGTCACCTGAAAAGGAAATACAACAACTTTAACGTTAATTTATTAATTCAGTATATTATTCAACATGTGTAACTAACTAATGGGACAACTAATATATACTAAAGGCTGGCAAAGGTTAGTTTTGGGTCGAGATTTCCGTATGTAAGAAGAGTACAATGCGTTTATAATGTACTGAACAAAGAGAGAACAGTAAACACGTTGCCAAATGTATGAAATAAACCGAGAAACTGTGCACATCGCTAAGAGACGTGGAAGGGGATATAGCAGATTTGTCGCAGTTGACCGGTCGACCCAATCAATACCTCTGTCAGTACTTAAAGTTCTAGGGAGGGTGTACGTCATGCGTTCAGCTTCACGATTTAATTACGTCTCGTGATACTTAATTTGTTTATTTATTAACGAGTCGTTGTAATTTTCCCTATAGCTTGAATTTTTTAAGTGCAAGCTAGAAACACTTGTATTTTTGGTAAAAATAAGTGGAATTGAGTGGGTGTTCGATAGTGGTCGCGCTATTAGAACTCCGAAATCAAAAATCGATATCTCGAAATCTATTAGTAATAATAGAGTAGTAGTAATAGTAGTTTTTTCAAGAACTTTGTTAATATTTCTGCTGTATTTTCTTTGTAGACAGTATGTGAAAATCTTTCTCAATAAAAAAATTACACGATTGCTGAAAATTGCTATGCTCTAAAAGTAAATGGATGGATTGTTTACAATTTTTGAATGGAAAAAACAACCTTATCGAATTTTTCTTATGTAAACATATTGTAAAATATCCGATCTGGAAAATAAAAAAAAGTTTCAATATCTAAAGTGGTTCTTGAGTTATGGCCTGTTATGTGTTAAAAAGTTGAGTTTTTAAATTATCGCGATTACTGACGTTTTCACGTTATAAAAAAAAGACACCTTAACGATATCCTTATAATTCCATTTCAGATGCTCAGAAACATGTCTAATGATTTTATCTAGTTATCTCTTGAAAAAAAAAGTCTTTTAAAAATAAGCGGTTTGCCATCGTGATTTTACTTTACTTGATAGGGAAAGGCGTATCGGCAACGCCGCAACAGCACACCGTCGCGCGTCGCGTCGGTCGGTCGCATTTCTCTCACTCCGACTTAATGAGATCCCTATGCGATTTACTTCCACACATGTAAATGCCGACCCAAAAGTAACAGTTGCCAGCACGGTATTTGATACCAATTAAACTTTTAGTTACGTAATCGAGGGCGCGATTTTTAAATTCATCGTTGCCAACCATGGACAAATTGGGCGCCGGGCTGACTAACTGGAACTTAAATTTCCCGCTGGGTATTCAGGTGGTAGCTATGCTGTAAAAAATGTCAAGTTGCCACATTTATTTACTTATTTCCTGGCATTGTCATTTGTTTTGACACTTTAGTTTTGTATTACGAGTTTTTTGATTAAATGAATTGTGTTATGATACTTTAAGCTTAAAACTTTTTACTATCGGAGTCGCAGATTGTTGTTTTTAGAATCTCTTTTACTGCGAAGTGTACAAGATAGTTTAATAGCGGTAAAAACCCCATCGCAACTTTAATAGAATGTTTTGAACGGGAAAGCGGTAGTAATGGCCCTTTATATCCGTTATGTGTTGTTAAGAAGGTTTTGTTGATGTAAATAATAACTGTTTATATATTTATAATTAATTTATTTTTGTTTCTTAAAATATTTATTTACAAGAAAATAAGTGGGCAACGCTGTGCCGATCAATAATCACGTGACTAAAAGTTTATTTGGTATTGCGTGTCAGTGTACGGCTTTGGTGTGCAGGGCCCGTATTCTGTAACTTTGAAAACGCTAAGCGCTTTTAGACGCTCAGCGTATATGACGTTAATTTTCGCTGAGCGCGCACTTAATTAACGATTTCGGTATTCTCGTCTAACGGGCGTTGCGTGTTTACTGATTGCGCTGAGCGCTTTGAAAACGGTTGCCTTAAAGGATCCTTTTGCTTGTCGAACTGTCATGTCAGTGAAAATCGAAAAAAATTGTGATTTTGTGCGTTATCTCGCTCTTTAGTGAAAATTACTACTTCTTTTATCTTTGAATAAGAAGACTAAGGAAGGAGCATAATGCTATCCATGTATTCATGCATGGTGGGCGGTAAAACACATTTGAATTTGATTTGAAATTTTGTGGATTTGTCAGTCTTTACGGAGCTTATTTTATGTTATTTATTATTTATTCTACTACTGATAGTTGTATAAAGGTAGTAAATCTAGATAGTAATGGCTGGCTTACTTAAATTAACAGTAGTTGGTTGTGTAGCGTGCGGTAGATAAGCAAAAAATTGAGTGAAATAATGGAACAACTTTTCTAATTTGGTAATAGATCATTATGAAATTCACTTAATTAACTAAATTATATATATTTTTTCTTGCATTTTAGCTTTTATTTATTACTTGTCAAGATTAGATGTCAAAGAATTTAGGATACGTTAATTTGACTTACCTGCTTCAGTAGCGCGTATCATTGTATGTTTGTTGTAATAAATACTTATTATAACTTATCTATTTTTTTAGAATTATATATTTTTATAACAATTTTAATAACTACCAACATTTATTCACAACGTAAAATAAAACAACAAATTATTGAGTCTACCCCACGTCTACCCTACATCATAGTTTTACATTTTTTAAATAAAATTAGAACGACACTGATAAACCGGAATTTAAGTCGGCTATATTTGAGGCCCATCGCGGTTTACCTAAGATTTTTGATATGCTCCTTCCTTAGTCTTCTTATTCAAAGTCTTTTATAAATTCCTCAATAAGTAATTGATAATTTACGACTTGACAGCTATAAATATTGTTCAAAACATCGAAAATGCTGAGAAGCGTCTTCAACACTTCCCTCGTATAATAAGAATAATGACATATCCATAGAAAAATAGCTTGACATAACTCAACAATAGGTTATGAAAGTCACGTAACATTGACATTTTTCATTGTTACATCCGTCAATTATCAACTTTTGACTATTAGCTACATTAGAAATTGTGATGTTGCCAATATGTGTTCAAAGCGTATCCAGAACACGATTCGCATGGCAACGAGTATACCAAAATCGATTGCCTTGCGTTTCTCTGATCGAATACTTGCGCTCACCGCTTTGAAAGCGTAACGTTTTTATGTCAAAGTTACAGAATACGGGCCCAGGTATCCTCACCGTTTGACGGTCTTTTATATTCCCATCGCTCTTCGATTCCGACATGTCTTTATGGTTGTGATTCCAAGAGTGCTTTCCCAAGTTCTTGGCATACTTGTACATGGCTCTTCCAAATTCGGGTGTTTTAGTCGGACTGGATACTTCCTAATAACAAAATAGTGGAAAACGGATATTTTTCTATGCCCCTATATGTACATATACCTGGTGCGTTTCAAAAGTGGCTCACCCCTATAACTTTTTTATTTTTCCAGATAAAAAACGAGATTTGGTGTATTAGTATATGACATAAATTAGGAGTGATTGACGTATTCAGTTGTTGTCAAAACATTTTTTGACATTCTCGCATGTGGTTTATTTGAAATTGTAACATGCGATTCATAACGACAATTTGACCCGAAATACCAAGTGTATAATACAAAATTTCTCGTAAAAAATGTTTTTTATAAAAATGCTAATGAGCCACACTCGTTTCATTTGAAAAAATTGAGATATGATTAAAAATACGATTTGGGCATCTTTTAACCGGCCAGGACAAAATACTAAAAACATTAAACGATCAAATCTATTATTCCAAGGCTCCTTGATTAAAAATTAGTATTTTTAACACAGCCATGGCACTCTAGATACGATGTTTTTTAAAGCGAATATGTCAAAAGTTAACATATGATATGTAATTCTATTCAAAGTTTCTATCGAATAAAGTAACAAAATACCTTTAAAAATAATTTAAAGTCGCGTGATTAACCCCCCCCCCCTCTTACTCATTCTACATTCTACATCCGCGATGTAAAATGTTTTCTCGTAAACCGTTTCATAGTTATGGTACTTTTAATGGAAAAAAAATTACGTGTTATTAAATGGAAAACTTTGAATGTTCACCGACACAATTGAGCTAAAAATCCTGCCTTCCGGGGGTATCTTTTTCTCGGTTATTAGGTTCATTTTAACCCATAAATTCCATAGGTTAGTTTTTTTGGATCACCCTAACGCACACTTTTTGACGCATCCTGTGTTAGTTTATAGTTTATTTTTCAAATATCCAAATAGAACTTTCGTCTATACCTAATACTCTACTTACATTTGTCCGTGAATTGCTTTCTGGTATTACTGTATCGAATTCCGAGGTGTTTATAGGAGTAATATCCAACGATGGAATGTGATTAGAAGTTCGCAAACTGGCTTTTCCTTTGCTAATGGGAGGACTTACGCTTCTGGAGCTATTGCTAGGTCCGGCATTCAGTTCTTTTGATATGGCATTCCTGAAAAGGAAAATAGATAAAATAGGTAGGTATAAAAAATCTTTCTTTGGTTTGGTTCATCAATATGTTATAAATAAGTCACACTCAAATCGTATTGTTATCTCAACTATGGTATACACACATGGCCAAAATTATTGTATAATATAACGATAAAAAAGCAGTTTCAGTTCCGTGCATTATATCTGCCCATACCATAATGCTTCCCCCTTGAAACGGGACACGGGGTTGAGCTGCATTCAAGCGTGCTCGTCTTCCAGATGCTCTCCAGACCAAAGTTCGTCGCGAGTCTGACACTTGGCCTATTCTTGTTTCATCACTAAACATGACGAAATTCCAATTAGGTCCATTTGCTCTCATCTTCTCAGCTCGTTGTAGTCGCGTAATTTTATGCTGTAAATTAAGCTTCGGAACACGTAGAGGCCTCCTTAAATGTAATACTCTGTCATGGAGTCTTCTTGCTATGGTATTTCTTGAAACATTTACTCCTTCAAGGCGAGCTAACTCATTTTTAACAGCAATACTAGAAAGCAAGGGATTGCGTCGTGCAATTAGGGATATTTGACTGTCTTGCACTGCAGTAGTAACTCTCTTTCTACCTCTTCCAGGCCCGTCTGTAACCTCGTTTGTCTCCCTGAATTTTTTTAATATTCGCAAAACATCGCTTTCATTAACTCTTACAATTTCAGCTATTGCAACTTGCCAGCTTGAGACAGTGTTACTATTCTGACTCTATTAAACTTGAAATAATGTTCCTAGGCATTTTAAGGCCAAAACAATGGTCATATTGCTTCTGAAACCCAAGAGACCACAAATCGAAATGTGCAAGAATTTGTAATTTGTAGGAACGATAAACATTGTTTACCATATCCATTTTAACAAAAAAAAAATTATTACAGATTATTAAAGCTATGTATAAAAAAAGGTTCTTTCCTTTCCGTATATTTTTAAACGATATATGCAATAATTTTGGCCATGTGTGTACTTAAGAGTCCATTTCACTAGTCCAAAAAAAATGCAAAATAAGCGTTAAGCATTTAAAGATTTATGTAAAACTGGCTAGATATTTTTACGCAAATGAAGAAGGAAATGAATGATAAAGAGTTATACTATATCCGTATTGTAGCACATTTTTAGACAACTTTTTTATTTTTAAGATTTTGATGGTCAAACATCAACAAAATATTCCTTATGTTTGAACTAAATTTTCTCGAAAATAAAGACAATTTAAAATTCTGTTACAATACGGAAATAGATTAAAGTTTTGTGATTACAGTGATATATAATTTATATGGTTTTGTAACAAATTGCTCGTTATTTTATGGCAAATGCTGAAGCTCTGCAAACCTTAATCAAGCCTTAATCAAAGCACGTGTGTTTGGAATTTTGGGTGTGACTTAACACGACAGTATCGGGCTAAGCCTTAGGGCCATTTCGCACCAACACAGTCCAGTCTATTCCCGTCAGATTCAGTCTAGTCCAGTCAAATCACTACAGTCCACTGCTTTCACACCAAACGCGTCCGACGTTTGTTGGTAACATTTTTTTTAACGTGTTTTCAGCAAAAATAAGCAGTTTAACAACAGGACGCTTTGAAAATGAACGGGATTCTTAGAGTAATCATTTTACGTCGATTATAAAAAGAAGAAAGCGAAGGAAAAATTTATTTTAGACACATCCCATTCATAATAGAAGACTTGTTTTCGGATGTTTTAGTCACTTATTTCCCGATTTATTAAATGATGCCAAGAAATTTTACAATTTTTTTCGAATGGGACCAATGCTTGGGGTTATATATCGCCTCTTTATGTCTAACAAAAACAAATAAACTTTCCACATCCATTTGTGTACAAATATCGCAAATGATTGGCATAAAAATTCGACCGAACGAATCACTATCAGTCTTGACCAGTCTGGACGCGACTGGACTGTACACGACGTGTTTTGTTTGAAAACAACTTTCGTTCCCGCATTTGTTTTTCTCATGACTGTCCTAGATTGGATTCAGCAACGTCCGACGTGACTGATCGTGACTGGATTGGACTGTGTTGGTGCGAAATGGCCCTTAGACAGATTTCTATAATATAATATATATTTCCTTCGGCCACACACCCGCTCTACCCGACCCCTGAGAGCAACCCGAACAGTATTATATATACTTTTGGCACGAATGACCGATTATTGCTGATCATTAGAGATAATTAAAATCGGTCCAGCCGTTCTTCAGTTAAAAATAGTGTTACTAACCGAACTTTGTTTTATTTATTTAAATTATTTATGTTAATATACCTGTATTCTCTAAGTGTTATAGCAGAAGGTGACTTCAGAGGCGATTGACTAGGCGTAGCAGTAGTGGTTGAGCTGACACTTCCATTATCGTGGTCAATAATTTCCACATCAGTATCCTCCTCTCTCTCCTTCTCTTTTTCTTCTATTTTATCATCTTCTTCCTTGGCTTTGATTGCTTTTAGTAGAGGTGTTTTCTCTTCCCTTCCGTTTAGTTCAATTTCTCGAGCGAGGATCGGCGATCCGAAGTAGAGAGTTGGATCCCAAGATGGATGGGTGGCTCCATCTGAGTTTGATCTTTTGCCTAAAAAAAATAACAGTCCAAACATAAATCTGTGTATTTCTGTTAGCCTTCTTATACACTAGTACGAGAGTTAGCAACGTCTGGAAAGTATGTTAAGAAAGCTGGCTCTTTGATATATTATCTTTTACTATATGCTCTCTGGAGCAGCGGGCAGGCCGTCTAAAAAAAACGTGTGTTAGTATCAATATTAGTCATCTTTATTTCTCAATTCTTTATTTCTTCAATAATTATAATGACTTGGCAATTGTACGATATGATATTCTATACTAATTAAAAAACTGTATTTTTAAGTGTATTGTTTAGATTTACTTCATAATCGAAATAGCAGATTATTCTTTTATAATTTTATTATTGGTAATTGCCAAGTCATCATAATTACTACAGAAATAAAGATGACTAATATTGATACTAACAATTTATAACAAAATTGTTGATAAAGGTGTTTAAAGAGAGATTAAATAAAATAAACTGACTTGGTTTTACAGGAGATCTCACAATTTTTTAGAGTGGAAGAATTGTGTTGCCAGACTTGGTATTTTTTTACATTGTATGTTTTTGATGGGATCTTATTTCATCTTGTAGGTTATTCTCCTTTTTTTTCAGGTGATATATCATTCAAAATAATATTAAAGAAGATTTTTTTAGATTCTATGTTTTTGATGGGTTTTCTTTTTCATTTCATATTAATCTAATATTTATAATGAATTGGATATTCTTACCCCGACTTGACACATCTCCTCTATTCGGCGAACTGACTATACTCCTTCTGGCCACATCCTGGAATGTTATCGGGGAATAAGCTACCGATCTGCTCAGTGTTGGTGTGGCGGGTGCTGGAATTAAGGGCTGATCGTCACTGTATTCTTGCTTCTTGAGGAAGGTGTCCTGTAGTCTGGGCACCGGTGTCCGGCATTCGCTGCTTTCCAGCCAGTACGTCTTCATTGTACCTACAATGAAAATATTAAGTGATTTTAATAATTATTGTTCCAAAAACCTTCCCTGCCCGCAAAGTTATTCTTGGATTCTAAAAAAATAAAATAAACCGGGGTGCTACAAATTTGAGGTACGACTAGGTACCTCGGTAACCGTAATAAAAAAGAACATGGTTAAATTGGGTCAAAGTTGCGCTTTGGGATGTTCACCGAGATGCAGTCAAAAAGTTTTAAAAATTTCAAGGATTGCTGAGTATTCTGGGAAAAAAACGGATTTTTGAAAATCAGTTTTATTTTTTCCTGTCGTTACTTTTAAGAAAATCAAAAAACTAATTGCTCAATCTCATAGCCACTTTCTATCTGATAGTATTTTTAGATTTTCAAATTAGTTGATAGTTTGTGTAATAAATCAAATGTAATAAAATAATAAAAAACAATATAAATATAATATAATATAAACAATCAAATCATTTCCCAGGAAGATGGATTGGCAATGGTAGAGCAGTATAATGGCCAGCGAGGTTCCTAGACAAGGGAAGGTGGGTTGAGGTGTCATTACTTGACGTCACTTGTAAAAGTGAAATCAATACATCTCAACATTTACAATAAAGAGTACAAAATGTATTCGGAAGTATGAGAAGAATGTTCAAAGAGCTATAAATAAAATTGAACGAAAAATAAATTGGTGCAATAGGGATGGTGGTAACCCTTTCGAACATGTAGAGCATTAGAAACTAGTTTGTAAAAGTTGATTTATTTATAATAACTACGATTAATATTATGCATATTATTAGATCGCACACTGAGAATTTCAAATTCACGATAAAAAAGTTGAAAATAATATCTTTAAATTGCTGACCTGGATATTATTTATTTGAATCTTCCAATTGGCTCGATTTTCCTTATTCAATGTTAATTAGCGCTGATCAATATTGTTGCGATGAATATAATCAGATTAAATAATTTAAACAAACCATTTTAAATAATAATTAAATAGTTTTGTTTTTCATCATTATACTTACGAGATCCAGTTCTTTCAAAATCTTAAATAAAAAATGCAGGTCCGTATTTACAAAAATTAAGTCGGCCTCTGTATCTCACAAATTATCAGGTAATTTGAAAATCTAAAAATACTATCATATAACCCTAATAGAGTGGCTATGGGTATGTGTAATTAGTATTTTGATTTTCTAAAATGTAACGACAGGAAAAAATAAAATTAATTTTCAAAAAATCCGTTTTTTCCAAAAAAAAACTCAGCTATCCTTGAAATTTTTGAAACTTTTGATTGCATCTTGGTGAACATCCCAAAGCCCAACTTTGCCCCAGATTAACCATGTTCGTACTATTACGGTTACCGAGATAGCCATAATGCTCGTACCCGAAATTTGTAGCACCCTGTATTGTAAAGAGAAGATATGTGTATGAATAAATTATATTAGAATATAACAAAGCAATTCAATACCGCAAGATACAACATAAATCTTGGTAGAAACCACGAGTTCTCTCAAACATGCCTTTCAATTATCTTGCCGCCCTTGTTACATGCCTCTATGCCTTGTTACGATGCTATTTGATCCAGTTTATATTATATTTCAGAGAGAAAATTTTACAAATTGCTCGTAAAAAAGGTAAGAAGAAAATAATATAATTTTCACAAATTTTATCGGCTTTATTTTTTTCTCGATAAAAAGGAGAAAAAGATCCTATTTGTCTATTATTTTATTTATATTTCATTGCATTCAAACTTGGTTATTTTTTCTTTGTTTTGGTTGGTTTAACGCTTTGAAAAAAAAGATTAAGGAAGGATAGGATTCTCGACAGAGGAAAATCAAAGATTTTTCTTGACTTAAGAATCCATTTCACTAGTCGGAAAAAGTAGAAAAATAAGCGTTCGGCATTTAACGTTTTATGTAAAACTGGCTAGGTATTTTTACACAAATGAAGAACGAAATTAAAGATAGGATTATACTATAACCGTAATGTAGCACATTTTTAAGCAACTTCTTTATTTTTAAGATTTTGGTGGTCAAACATCAACAAAATATTCCTTATGTTTAGACTAAATTTTCTCGAAAATAAAAACTTAATTTAAAATTCCGTGACAATACGGAAATAGATTGAAGTTTAGTGATTACAGTGATATACACTTGCGTGCATAGAAATCGGCCCAAGGCAAACTTTTGAAGTTAACTATATATTTTTTATAATCTATTTGTCAGATTAAGAAAAAATACATGCTGTTTGAAAGACAATTTCATATTCTTTGAAAAAAGTTCAGCGATATTAATTTGTATTTTGCTTTCTTTGGATTAAAATTATTAAATTAATGCATGAAACAAATTATCGTTTTTTATTACTAAGAGGTTATGTTATTATTTATTTATGGACAATTAACTAAACTAAATTTTCAATAATGGGTATGACCCCCTCTTGCTCTAACAACATCTCTCATAAGATTTGGCATAGATTCTATCAAATTTGATATTGTTTCTTGCGGGATGTTAAGTCACTCTTCCTCTACTGCAACAATGAGCTCTGGGATAGAAGTTAGTCTAGTACGAATTCTTGGTTTTAGCTCATCCCATAAATGTTCTATCGGGTTTAAGTCTGGACTGCATGCTGGTCATTCCATAACCCGACTTCTGAAATGTAATCGTGTACGATTCTTGATGTGTGTGCCCTCGCATTATCATGCATAAATGTGAATTCGTTTCCAATGTAGTCGACGTAAGGTACCACATGAACAGCTAAAAACTCGTCAATATACCTATTGAGGAGTTAAACTCAGTTAAACCTCCTCTCCAGTTAAACCTCCTCTCCCGTGTCGACGGTCGCCCCAACGGATGAAAACTGGGTCGGTTCGCGCAGTTATGGAAATTGCATCCCAGATCATGCAGGAACCACCTCCATAAGCAATCCGCTCCTCAATGCAGCATTCTGCGAATCGCTCACCTGGCGTCCGGTACACTTTTCTTCTTTGGTCGCTACCATAGAGGCAGATCCTGGTCTCATCTGAAAATAAAATATATTCCCATTGTTCTAGTGTCCAACTCAGATGTACTAGTGCAAAACGCAAGCGTGCTTGACGATGAGCTGAGGTAAGTTTTGGACCAATTGCGGGTGTTTTAGGTGTCATGTTACTTTCCTTCAATCTTCGTCTTACTGTCCACTGACTAATAGTCACTCCTCGTGTTTCACGGAGCTGTTGCTGCACCTGAATAGCATTAAGACGATTTCTTAATATTGTTGACACAATAAAGCGGTCATCACGATCCGTTGTATATCTCTTTCTACCAGTTCCAGGTCGACTACGAAAGGATCGAGTCTCCTCATATCGGTCACACACTCTGCGAACCGCTCCGCGTGTCATATGTAGTTGCCGAGCTACAGCTCTCTGTTTAAGTCCATTTTCGATTAAAGCGATTACTTGGGCGGCTTTTTCCGGTGATGTATGCATTAAATTGAAACACTACTTAAACAATGAAGCAACTAATCAAAGAATAAAAGAACAATGTGAAAATGTCGATTACAAAGGTAGTAATTGCAATATTTGACAAGTTTGTTATTCTTATTGTCACCACAACACAAATACCTTTTATTTGTTTACCTGTTGGTACGCATATAAACGATAAGTACCCTGGATAAATTTATGCTCATATTAAAGCATGTTAAATTGTCTTTGAAACAGCTCATATTTTTTACTTGTCTGATAAATAGATTCTAAAAGACACAGTTAAAACCAAAAGTTCACAGTGGGCCGATTTCTATGCACGTAAGTTTATAATTTATATGGTTTTGTAACAAATTGCTCGCTATTTTATGGCAAATGATGAAGCTCTGCAAACCTTCATCAAGCCTTAATCCAAGCACTTGTGTTTGGAATTTTAGGTGTAGCTTAACACGACAGGATCGGGCTAAGCATTAGGCAGATTTCTGAAATATAATCTATATTTCCTTCGGCTACACACCCGCTTTACCCGACCCCTGAGAACGACCCTAACAGTACAGAGTAATAGACTCTTAAGTAAGAACTGGGATTGTCACGGAATTTTTAACGTTCTGTTTCTAACAGGTCTCCTCAATGAACACCTCAGTAGATTGTTAGCTTGAATAGAAATAGAAACAATGGTGAATGCAGATTATTAGAATTTTAAATTAGACATGATTAAAACTAAGTAAGATACTAACCCAAGTAGCATTTTCACGACTTGCGACCACATGTTTACTAAACACAACGTTGGATTAGTTACAAAAAATAGTTAGCTCTGTACCTTGGGTATTAAAATAAATGTAAACGTTGTTGTAACATTGTGCCGACGTTGAACTAGTACTATAACCACAGATTAGGTATTCTATAAGTATACAGATAATTATTCTAACCACTAATTCGTGGTACGAAAGTTGTTTTTTATGACGATGTGCAAACGAGTCAAATTTCCTGTGCGCAAAAAGAAACTCGCGTAAAATAACAATAAACAGCGTAATAGAGAGATATCGCTAAACCGAATAGCGTGCATGGACGTCAATAAGGCCAGGTGTTATTTCCTTTACGTGAGGTGGTATTAACTCTCTTCATTTATAGTTATCGGATCGGAAAGAATTCTGATCGCGTCGCGTCCGCTATTTAAACTTAACCTAACTTTGAATTTAAAACTTTGAAATTGTTTTGTTTACTAGATATTTTAAAACTAAAGAGCTAAAGTGCTTATTTCCAGTGCTTTATTGTTCAACGTCTGCCAGTGGGTTTAGGGCAACAAGCAACAAATTCTCTTAGAAGGGCTAAGTCGTCATCTGCTGTAAACCTAAGACTCTTTATAGGTTCTTTAGTATTGGAAGAGGTGGAGTCCATATTTTGGGCCATATTTATTTAATTAAAACTAATCCCAGCTAAAGAAAAAACAAAGATTATAATCTGTATAATCTGTGCTATAACAAAGAAAAGCTACTGCGACGTCGAATAAACGTTGTCTTGTAACCTTTTTTGCTTAAGTGATCTTTAGGTGATTCGGACAACGTAGTTACAATGTTGGGCAATAAAGAGCTTTTTTAGCAATTGAGCAATAAAGAGAGTTTTTCGACTGCGAATAAATTATTCTCATTTTACTAAAAAAAAATTCAAGAATTTTTTTAAAACTTCTTTAATTTTAAGGCCCATTAGTATTTTTCAAAGTAGAAACAATACATTTATCAATAAAGATGTTTGCGTTTAACTTTTTTGCCTTGGGTAACGAGTTATAGAGTTGGTTAAAGTGTTTCAATAATTATGATCTTCAAACATTCTCCACACTTAAATACTTTTGTTTTGTTTTCCTTTACTGCCATCTGGCATATGTCTCTAACTAAATCATAAAAATAATATTTTTACTATAATTATCCCAATTTAGGATAAAACGCGACTTCGACGCCATATTATTATAGTTTTGTATTTCTGTGAATTAGGATTTTAAACAACGTTGCAGTTTGTACTAAATTAGGCTACTAGCCAACGTCGGTATCCAACGTCGTTTCGACCCAAAAATTATTCTCCAAACTAGTGAAGACTAGGGTTGTGCCCACGTTGCGCCCCGACGTTTGGTCGCGTGAGACAACGTTGTCCCGACGTGCAAATGCTGCTTGGGAAATAGCGATTTGTTTACATTTTCCTTGTATATATGTTGTTTAAAAAACAAACTTTTTATTTGGGATATGTTATATTATATTACAACCAAAGTGTTAATTGCAAGCCATTTAAAACCCTACCTTTGCCTTTAATTTGTATCTCCCCCCTCTCTGTTACGTTGTAAGTGGATGGTAGACACTCCCTTGTATACTGGGATATATGAATTTTCATGGCTTCACTTGTGGATTCCATTCGAGAAGCAGTGTTGACACTGTCTCCAAAAAGACAATATCTGAAAAGATTATATTTAGCAAATCTGCGTACATAAAATATTGCAAAATTATGTTATATTTTATTCATGATTTGATGGAAAAATATCCTTTTAATATTACCTATAAATATATTAATTGAAAAATCTCTATATTTAATATTAACAACTTATAAGTTATTATAATTTAAATACCCTTTAATATGCGACACAGGGCTGTGTATAGATTATAAGGAATGTACCTAGGCATTTTTAGTCCTACAATACCAGCTACCACAGCTCCTGAATGAACACCAACCCTTATCCTTAGATGCTGACCTGTAACAAAATATGCACATTTAGATTAGAATGTCGTAAATTTTCTTTTTTTGAAATTTTCAAAGTAAAATAACTCAGTTATTTGGACTTATTTGAAAAACGGCAAAGATAAGATAGGTACCTATGTTTCTTTTATTGAGATTTACCAGCCCTGAAAATATTTGCACTTATTTAAGACTCTGTACTGCCACCCTGTACAGGGTGGCGCCTCTCATACACCGCGGAAGCTCCAAGAAGAACGATAGTTTATATTGAAATGGAATTTTGGCAGCATATATAGGTTAACTGAAAGCATTTTATAAAAATATATAGAATTATACAGGGTATCCTCAAGAAAAGTTACACATCAAAGTTGTGTTTTTTCTAATGGAACACCCTATATATTAATTGATTTTCGGACTCTAGGAAAAAAATAAAGGTGAGTTTTATTAAAGAAGCATATACCTAAACTCTAAGGATTTCGACATATTTCAAATTTTGTGAAAACGAAGAGTAAATTTTAAATTTCAATAACAGCTACCTAAGTTTTAGTTGCCTGATATTTAATTACAGTAACCATTGTATGTTAAACCAAATTGAAATTTGACCCGAAAAGTTATACAGGGTGAGACAAAATTAATATGGAACATTAGTCACTTTAAAAAGCAAGTTACTCCTTTATTTTAAATGGAACACCCAGTATATTTCTTCGGTGTTCAGGGAATTTATATACCTTCAAAATATTATTAAGGTTGCCTGCCCCTCGGACAAAGATTTTCCAAGATATTTTAATTTGTATGATTTTGCGTCATTCGATCTTAGTTATTTGAAAAAATCTAGGTGGCTGTGTGATATATCTTTTGTTAATTTAACAAAAATTAAAGATTTTAAAGTAAAAAACTCAACGGAAATACACGTTTTACGTTTTTAAGATACACGTTTAAAACATATTTTAATTATGAGAGAATTAAAAGTAGATATAAACCTATAATTTTGTGACAAAAATTAGCTAGATGAAATCAAATGCTCAAAATGCTTCCTTTCCTGTTAACTGCATAAAATGATGTTCTTTTCAAAAGGATCTTTTCATTTTAAAAGGCATGCATAATTATGTGGAGTTCTACCCCGAAAAGCAGCTACAATAATTTCTCTCATGTTGTCGACAATTTTTGGTCGAGTTTTGTAAACACTGTCTTTAACATATCCCCATAAAAAAACAGACTATATAAAATCAGGAGCATTTTTAAGTATTCTATTAATTATTGGTGAATGCACACTGCATTCACCAACTAATAGAATCATATCAATTCTCTCTGATGTAGGATAAGTTTGTATTTTCGGCAAATTTCTGAGAATTTTTTTTTGTTTTAACTGACACAAACTAGTTGTTAAAGTTGGACTAATTAGACAGCTATTTTGAAGTAACGTCAGACATATCACAGCCACCTAGATTTTATCAAATAATAAAGATCTACTCAGATCAAATCATGAAAATATCTAGGAAAATCTTTGTTTGAGGAGTAGGAAACCTTAATAGTACATGAATTCTCCATTAAATATCAGAATAATAATACTGAGTGTTCCATTTAAAATAAAAGAGTAGGATGCTTTTAAAGATGACCAATTTTCAATATTAATTTTGCCTCACCCTGTATAACTTTTTGGATCAAGTTTTAATTTGATTTAAAGTACAATAGTTGATTTAACTACATATCAGGCTATACCGAGTAAATTCCGATTTAGGTAGCTTTTATTGTAATTTAAAAATTGTTCTTTATTTCTAGAAAATGTTAAATATGTCAAAAACCTTACATTTTAGTCATATACTTCTCTTATAAAACTCACCTTTATTTTTCTCCCAGAATCCGAAAATCAATTAATATATAGGGTGTTCCATTATTACAGTTGAGGGTTGGAACCTTTGGTGTTACACAGCAAAATAAAAACACTAAATCACCACAATACACCAAAACACTTTTACTTTTACACTGGACGCGCGTTTCGCTCACCATGTTAGCATCATCAGCAGATGATTATAAACTGAATTTACTGTGTTCCATTACAAAAAACACAACTTTGATATGTAACTTTTTTTGAGGACACCCTGTAGAACTCTCTATATTTTTAAAAAGTGCTCTGAATTAACCTACATATGCTCACAAACTTTCATTTCAATACAAACTGTCGTTCTTCTTGGAGCCTCCGCGGCGTATGAGGGGCGCCGCGCCACCCTGTATAGAGCAACAAAAAAAAATCTTTTTCTTTTTAGTTACCGTGAAAATATCGTTCAGGATGCTGAAAAAATTCTGGTAATAATGGCTCTCAAAAAGCTTTTTGAGCCATTATTTCGTGATAAAATATTAAAAATTGTGGAATTTGTTATATACGATTTGAATATGTATTGATTTTTACAAAACGCTGCTTTGTTAGAACAAAATAAAATTCCAAAAAAAATTGTTTCTCCGTGCTATTTAAATGGGGAATAGAAAATCAGGATCACACCTCTTAATATTAATATTAAAAGTTCAAACTTTACCAGAATTTTTTTTCATCACGTTAAATGATATTTTCACTTATAATATCACAAGAGCTTAAATTATTTTCGGAAATTTTTTTGAGGGCACGAATATTTTGAAAATTATCCCGAGTCGAAGACGAGGGATAATTTTCCTAAAATATTCGTGCCCGAAAGAAAATTTCCAGGAATAATTTAAGCTTGCGTGGTATTCGGTAAGAAAATTTCACACCTAAATTTGAAAAAAAAATATTAATCCAACATGATATTTTAAAATAATTTCAATTTGTTAATAATATTAACAAATATTATTATATTTTTAATTAGTTACAGCAAATGCTAAAACTCAAATGGGTAATATTTCAATATATAGACATTGTAGTTCATTCACATTATGATTGTAGATCTTATTATGTTTACCTTTTCAACTGTCAAAAAATTTCCACTAAAGTTTCGTGGCGCCTCGAAAAAATTTCCGGAAATTTTTTCAGTTGCCATGGTAACTAGTCAACATTAAAGCATGTTATTGGTTGAAAAGTAGAGGTGTGAAATTTTCATGATAATTAAAAAGATTTTTTTTGGAGCACCCTAATAGACATTATTTCATTGTAATAAAATCGATCGTTAGCTAATGCATGTTATTATTTGATACATAAGCAAACATTTAATAATCGGACAAATTACTGGTTGGTAGAATTTTAAAATATTCGAATGTTTATCTGCATGTCTGCTTGCAAATTTAATAGGTATTTTCGAGGCAGTTGTCATATTTTCAGTCGTAATTGGCTGTCAGTTCCAGAATCTATTTTCTGGCTCTATCCTGAAGCATTACAAACTGGTGATTGATATTTACAGTATAATTTGTTTATGTGTATTCGTATGTGAAAAATTACGTAAAATCGGATTCTCCAAATTCATCATTCAAAAGAAACATACTCGGAAACATATTTTATCTTTATCATTTTTCAAATAAGTCTAAAATAACAGAGTTATTTTACTTTGAAAATTTCCAAAAGAAAATCATTTTTTGCTAAATTTTGATAAATTTTGTCCACTCGATCTTTTCTGGATTTTCTTCCTTGTAAATTTAATCTACCACCTATGTTGCCATAATATTATCAAGAAATTATGTTTTTTGACTAAAAACTAAAAAAAATTCTAAATTTTTTTTCAATAAATTTTCGAATTGTAAAAATTTTCTTTCGCGAAAAAATCCTCATACTCGTGTTTTTGGGGTTGAACTATACCACCAGTTAAAATACTTGCATTTATTTCCAGGACACCTTGTATATTATAGAAGCCATATGGCTAGGTCGACTCAGCCTTACATGAGTACTTGGGATTCACAATCCTGAGGTAATAATAGGCGGTTGAAGCTTAGTGCTAGCCACATTACCTTCTTTGTATACCGAACGGCTCTAGCATGGCAAGCTGTACCTTGCTACTCCCAAGGCGTAAAACGCTATATACGGGAGCTATTATTATTATATCTAGTTAATCAGACACTTTGTTCAAGATTTTGTAAATTTGTCCGAAATTGGGTGTAAAAAGCTAAATTAAATTTAAGAGAGAAATCTATAGGATGGAAAAAAACGGTATCATAGAAGCCGCGCCGGTTCGAGGCCGGATGAGATCGAATATCTCGTGAGTAAGGATCGATTGAGATACTCGCCAAGTTGGTGCTCACGCATTTTAAGTGAGTTAAGAGCTTCTTAACTCACATATTTTCATTACCGCACTCCTTGTTTAGATGACTACCAAAGTAGGTACCTATTTAGTGCAAAAAAAATATTTTGTAAAACATTTATGTTGCACTAAATACCTACTAAATACAAATAAACTGTTCTATTGATAATAATTATAAAAACATGAAAACTTATTTATTATAAATGTTAATGATACAGTTTGAACAATCTTTCAAGTAAATGCCTGATGAAGCATATATATTCATTTTAATAGATATCATAGAATAGAAAGGTATCATTGAATAGAAAGCCCAAAGAAACGAAGGCTTATTACTTATAAGGATAAATAACTTAACCATAGTTGTGTCCTTTTTTTCGGTGCACCATTTTCCATACTTAGAGTATGTATATTCATAGTTCTGTTTCGATCTTGCTGGAAGCAATCCAGAAATGGCTCTGAATGCCTCTTCTTCAATGTCAGAGGGAATACTTTCCGAATCGCTCATTTTTTAAACTAGTGACATCAATATTATTTACTGTCATATTGACATTGCCATGCATGGTGTTATTTGAACTTAGGTATTAAGGTAAATGATTTTTAGAATAGGTATACAGGATTGTTCACCACATACGACACGGAGTATTGTAGCTAAACGATTAGATTTTTACAAATTGTAAGTTTTGTGTTCGTTGAAGGACTATTAGAGCTACAATTTAAAAATATTTTTACAAGATACAGAGTGTCCCAAATAAATAAAAAATATCAAAGTTGTATTTTTTTAAATGGAACACCCTGTATATTATTGCATTTTTAGTTTCTA